GAACAGGAATTTCATCTTTGCAGTACTGCATTCCCAATAACTAGAGGAATATTGACACACAATAGATGCTCTGATATTCTGTATCCTAAATGTTGTTTATTAATATCTGCCTAACAGTATCCCGTGCTAACACTGAGCATCCATGACTGTCTGGAAGACCCTGAGAATGGGAAAGATTTGAGCCTTGATTCTGAGCACTTGGGGGCTGGCAGAAAGTTTGAGTCATCTCACTTATGTGCAGTGCCACACTGGAATCCATTGTTTTTCTGGGGGGAGAAAAAAACTAAATGGGAGAGAAATTCCAAGTTTCAAACTTCTTATTCTTGAAGTATCAGTCTTCTAAGGAGCTTTATCTCCAGGACAATACCAGATAAATATTAAGCCATCAGTGTATGTTGAATTACTGATTGTCATCAGGTTTTCTGTCTACCTAATCTACATTTGATTAAAACCCTAGCCACTTATTTAACAGCCTTCCCCCAGTACCTAACATCATTTAAATACTATCAGAGATGAATTTGCTCTGATCTCTTGCCTTCATATAACCCATATAGAAACATGAAAGATCATAAGGGAATTATTATAATAATCTATTGGATTTACCATAGCATAGACCAGACAACTTATAAATATTTTGTATATGTGTCTCATTGAATCTACACTGGCTTCAGTTTACAGATGAACTAGTATTCAAAAAAGTTAAGCAGCTTTCCCAAAAGAAGCACTGAGAAGTAACTATTTGGGATGAAGGCAGGGGAACAGGAAGGAGAAAAGGCTAAATTAGTAAGATATTATAAAAATATGGTCCTATGCCTAAAGCACATTATGATTACTTGTGTTCAGAGGCCTCTCCACCTACATGCTGTGAGGTCCAAAGCTCCTGTTGAATTTAATTGCCATTATAGCAGTTGCTATATTTAACAGAGTAGAAATATAACCCTGAAGAGACAACTAATAGATTAATGCTGTTATCACAGGAGTGGATTCCTGATTAAAAGGGACAGGTTCAGCCAGTTTTTTCCTTTCTCATTCTTGCTTGCCCTCCTATCATATAATATAGCAAGGGGATCCTCACCAAATGGGCCCCTTGGTCTAGACTTCCCAGCCTTAGTAAGTATGAACCAAATATACTTCTATTGATTAACTTATCCAGTTTGTGGTCATCAGTTAAAATAGCAGAAAAGACTATGACCCTATCCACACTGAACACTCAGGTTAAGACTCTTCTGTCGCCCCATTCTTCCCATCAAGACCCAAACTTCCTAGCTTCAACTTGCTCCCTGTTTCCAGCATCCCAGAGGTCCTTTTCATGTCCTTGTCCCCAGGGAACTCTATTTTCAGCTAGGGCCCTAATGACAGGATAAATACTCCAGCTCTTTTGCTCCTAACACCCTAAGCCCTGCTGGACCTGCAACTTCACTACCACTCCCTGCCCAGACATGGTGAGTCTGTCTGTGAATTCAATGCTGCAATAAGCATGCTATGAGCAAACTGAAGACCTGATGGCCACTAAGACCATTTCTTTGAGGTCCTCTGCACTTGCAAAAGGACTATAAATTTTGACCTGTACCATGCAGTATTAGTGGGTCTTGAGATAACTTTCTCCCAGAATACGCACAGTAGTCTGTGAATCGGCCTCTTTAGGTCACAGACAAGGAAGCAGACAATCTAGATGACATGACTGAGATCGCATACCTGGTGGGATGCAGAGCCAGAGTTTGAATTGGGCCATCTTTGGTCTTTCACTTAGGAATTCTTAGCAGGTAGCTTTCAGATGCTCTAGTGCCCACCAGGGATAAAGTGGTGCCCCTGAGCATTTGACCCATGATAGTTGTTTGTTTTTGTTTTTTTCCTTTCTTGTGAGAGTTTTGTGCCTGATACTTGATCTGCTATTCTTGTATGTTTTAGGTAAGGCCTTTCTTATCAAATGTTAAAATAATTCAAACAAAGCAGAGAGATAAGGGGCATTAAGTAGTTATTCTAGGAGAGTGATCTGGAGCAGGAGGCTGGGGTGTCTCTCTTGATCTCAAGAGGCAAATAAACCAGAAGAAAATAACACTGTAGTATAAGCAGAATGCTCACAAATAGAGGAGAAAGCTGCAAGTCTCTAGCACCACCTTCACTATGAAGAGAATTCTGCAGCCAGGCCACTCAGCCCCAGCTTAGAGATCACTAAATCATGCAGAAGCAGAAAGGCCTCCTCTGAATGCTAGTGATGGTGACTCACCTCCTGCCTTGCCCATTTTCCAGTGCCTGACTATCTTCCCATCCTGAATGTGTTTCATGAGGTTTAACTCAAGATTATAGACGGGAAGTAAGGAGCCCAAAGCCTATACCTCAACTTTGACCTATTTCCTGGAATCTAGGCATATTGTGCTCAACACACATTCTTCCAATTTCACTTGTCCATCTGTGCAAGTGGGGCTGAGAGAAGATGGATCTTGCAATCACTGCCATGTGGTTCCCAGATAAAGTGTAGAGTTGTTGAACCCCGATGCAAAGAAAAGACCACCAACTCCATTTTTAAATCAAATTAAAGCAAGCTTGGTTTGTGCACACAGAGAGCTGATCAGTGGTTGTCTCTCCTAACACGGGCTAGAGACAAGCCCCCCCCCCCCTACAGCTTTCCAGGAACAAAGATTTATAGCACAAAATTGCAAAGGGGGGTGTCTTGAAATTACAACTAACAGGATTTTGACAAGCATTATACAAAGGCAGATAGTAAGTTAATGATCTACATGGCATGATATTTCAAGGTAGGGAATAAATTCAGATCCCAACATCAGAATTTGAGGCACCGATGTGGTTTCAGAGAGGGTTGTAATCTGGTCAGGGGGACCCAGGTATGGGTGAGTTCAAGGTATGGGCAGGAATTCCAAACAAGTTTAGAAATTGCAGTAATTGATAGTAAAACAGAAATTAACTTTTCATGACTTTGTGATGAGATGGCTCCCAATCTTACGATGGAATTAGGCTGGGTTCATCAGAGTAACCATACTTTGAATAGCAGCTCAGGGGCTGAGTAAATCTGATATGGTTATTACTAGGCTGAGGTGGAAGAAGAGGGAGAGAAAGTAGAGCTACTCATTCAGACCCAGATTATTTAGCTCTCAGCTCTCTCCACAACAGAGAAAGGGTACTAAAGCATGGATGTTCCAAAAATGCCGTCTGTAAAAGTGTGTGTGAACCTATCGTCAAAGCACAACCTTGCTCATACATTATACACCGAAACATGCATAGACGCACATAAGCGCATGTTTAGCCAAACAAAGTATCATCACTTCATATGGAATAGTTTCACATTACTGGTTCACAAAGTCCCCCATGATTCCTCTCTGCTCTGACCCTTCCACCTTCACGGGGGGCTAAGATGCTCTCTGAGGATGCTTGGGCAGATGGAGGATTGAAAACCCAGGAAGGGAACTTTCCCACAAGGTAAAATGAGAAACATGGGGAAGAATAATGAAATGCAGAAGATTTTTTTTTAAATATCGGTGACAACTACAACTGGTGCTAAAATAAAGAAGCATCTTGAAACACAACTCAAGTTAGAAGACCTTACCCTTTTCCTTTCTGCTGCTTTTCTAGGTCTCTGGGTAGAGTAACTAATACTGGGAATTGCAAGAAGTATCAGCCCATTTGTGTTCCTAACCTAAAACTATCTAAAGAGGTCTAATTTTTTTCAACTGTAACTAGAAACAAACAGAACAATCATAGACCATTATAAGCTCTTTTTCAAAAGGCACTCTTTATCTTTCCTGAATGTCTATTCTGGTTCTTGTTCTTTTCATCCTCTCTTCCTCTACTGTTCCCTTCCTGCCTTTTTTGCTTAACCCCCACCCTCAAGTTCGCAGTCATTAACTAGCTAGAATATAAGAATAATGAGAAGGCATCTGCAGGTCACCAAAGATCAGGAAAGAGTATATATAATAAAGAAAAATGAGGTAGAGATGTAAAAGCTCAATACTGTCATTTGACTTAACTTACTCTACATTTGATTATAGAAGATTATTGTATTTATAATAATGAATATTCACTCATTCTTTCATGTACCTTGAACTTGTATGAGACTACACTTTGTACATAATTACCTCTCAATGACCTTATCAGATCATATGTTGTGGTCAAATCAGCCAATATCTACCACCACAGATTCTGTATGATCTCAACTGATTCCACAAACACACAGGATGTCTGAAGCAAGCCCTGGATGCTAATACTAAACATGACCCAGGCAATCTTATGTCTCTTGAATCGGGCTACAAGAGATTTAGCTCCTCACCTGTGTTTGAATATTTCTGGTCAAAAACATAGGTTTTGAGGGTTGAGGTTGTGATTCAGTGGCAGAGTACTTGCCTGGCATTTATGGGGCACTGGGTTTGATCCTCAGCACCACATTAAAAAATAAACAAGGGTACTGTGGTGGTTTTTGGGGGGGTTTTGTTTGTTTGTTTTTAAAAAACACTAGGTTTTGAGCCTCAACTATGGGTTATTATAGGCTCCATGACTTGAAAATCCATCCAAGATCTTACTTTTTCTTTCAATCCTGGTCTTCCTATCTTGAAAAGTAACCACGTTCAAGTTCCCCATCCAATTTGATCTTTCATTTCTATATTGCCTCCATGTTGTAACACAGATGGATCAGAAGAAATAAATACCAGAGAATTGGCAAGATGGGGTTCATGAGCAGAGAAAAGAATGCTGTAGGAATCTCTAGCCACACCCCTTTACCATGCCATACACTTGTTACCATGGAAAGGGGTCTGTCTACAGCCGTATGCTACCCAGCCTCATCCCACAGCCTAGACATCACTGAATGAGAAGTGCTACTTTGAACCTTGGTGATGGTAACTCACCTTCTTTGCTTCATTTCCCAACACCCTACAATCCTCTTGTATGTTTTTGAAGTTTAACTCAAATATTTCCTGCTGTAATTCAACTACCCTCTAAGGATGCATAATCTCTGATTTTTCAAGGGCTTAAAGAAAGACGGTGGCCTGGCAATGCAACACACAAACCACAGCCATCAGAACCCAGCCTCCTTTCTGCTTATGGGAATTCCTGGTCTGGAGGCATCCCACTTTTGGATTGCATTTCCCTTCTGTTCCATGTATGCCCTGGCAGTGCTTGGCAACACGGCGGTGCTGCTGGTGGTACGTTCGGATCCTGCACTGCACCAGCCCATGTACTTATTCTTATGCATGCTGTCTGCCATTGACCTGGTGCTCTGCTCCTCCACTGTGCCCAAGCTCCTTGCACTGTTCTGGGCAAATGCTGCAGAGATTGCTTTTGGGGCCTGTGCTGCCCAGATGTTCTTTATCCATGGTTTCTCAGCTGTAGAATCTGGTGTCCTGCTAGCAATGGCCTTTGATCGCTACTTGGCCATCTGTCGGCCACTACACTATGGATCCTTGCTTCCCCCAGAGTCTGTAGGCAAGCTGGGGGCTGCTGCAGTGCTTCGTGGCTTGGGGCTCATGACCCCACTCACGTGCTTACTAGCAAGGCTGAGCTACTGTAGCCGAGTGGTGGCCCACTCCTACTGTGAGCACATGGCTGTAGTAAAGCTGGCTTGTGGGGGCACACAGCCTAACAACATATACGGCATCACTGCTGCCACATTGGTGGTTGGCACAGACTCCATATGCATTGCCATCTCCTATGCACTCATCCTCCGGGCTGTGTTAGGCCTTTCCTCCAAGGAGGCACGGGCTAAGACCTTTGGCACGTGTGGCTCCCACCTGGGTGTCATCCTTCTCTTCTATACACCAGGGCTCTTCTCATTCTATACACAGCGTTATGGCCAGCATGTGCCCAGACACATCCACATCCTCCTGGCTGACCTCTACCTTGTTGTGCCACCCATGCTCAACCCCATCATCTATGGGATAAAGACCAAGCAGATCCGGGATGGAGCCCTCCGAATGCTGAAGAAAAGCCCTGCTCAGTCATAAGGGCTTCAACCACACCCTGAGACCCTGTCCTTTTCTCCCCTTAGCCCTTGTGCAATGATTACTAGGCCCACCTCCCAGAATGATGGGGTAACCAAAACTCACACTCGAACTTCCCTATCAAAGTAGGAGAGCATTGACAAGTCAGGCAGTGGAAGAACCATCAGATGCCTCATTTATGATGTAGATATGTGTGAAAAGCTCAGAAAGCCTTTGTCAAAAGGAAAAGTATGGCTACCAAACTGATGGCCTCCCTGAAAATGTCATGCTGCTAGCTGACAATCTCTACTACCTCCCAAGGGACCCTCATAAAATGAGGAAGACATGGCTACTTAGCTGACATGAAGAAATAACCCTCATTCATGGGATGTTGTATGTATGGGGGAGGGAGATACATCCTTCTTAATTTTCTAATATTTAGTCCACTATGTGAATATACAGGTTATGTACTTTTGGACACCTGATTTGTTTCCAATCTTGAGTTAGTATGAATAAAGTTGCTATCAGTATTTCTAAACCTAGAATAATAATATTGAGCAACTTCTGAAGGGTTTATTATTCATGAATCTTTTTAAAAATCTTTTGTCCATTTTTAAAGTGGCTTTTGTTTATTGATTTGTATTTTTTTTCATGATATCCAGTTCTTTTAGCATTAAAGACTTTGTCAGATTGAATTGCATTGGCTACCTTGTCAAATTGGTCAACTCTTCGTGAATATATTTACAGACTTTTTTCTGTTAATCTATTTGTCCTTACGTTAACACTGCACTGTATTAATAATGATACAGTATACTAAGTCTCAAAGTAGTATAAATTCTCCCCATATTGTACTTCCACAATGGTCCTAACTATTCTACATTCTTTGCATTCTCAACTTTTATATTAATGGACAAAATTTAAAATGTTTGCAGAATCAAAACTATGATGTACATCTTTTATAGCTTAATATTGCATTATATGAAGAAATAATTTTATCCATCAATTGAGAGGTATGTGTTTCCACCTTTGGCTATTATGCATACGTCATAGCCACATTATTCATATGTCTTTATGTGGACACATATCTTCATTTCTAGTGGGTATACTCTTAGGAGTGGAATTTCTGGTTATATAGTAACTATTTAACTGAGGAACTAGTTTTTCTAGAGTAGCTACACCATTTTACATTCTCACCAAAAGTAGATGAGGGTTCAATTGAATCTACACTAGAATGCCTGCTATACCTTTTTTAAAAAAAGGTGTATGGAGGTATATTGGTATGCAAAAATTTGTCTGCAGTTTGAGTTTGGGTGTGCACATACATCTCTGGCCTTGTTTCTTTTAGGAAGAAAGTATTCAGACTTTCATCATTAAGCATGACAAGTAGACTTTTTTTTAATAGATGCCCTTTACCATATTGAATGCATTTTCACTGAAAGTTGAAAATTTTCATCTAGGGTGGTGGTACATTTGTTCAAACTACTTTTCATATAGGTAATATAATTTTTATTTTATGTTGATGCGATGTACTATATTGACTTATTTTTAAATGTTTAACTTAGACTCCTGGAATAAACACCATTTGGTCATGAAATATTGTCCTACTTATATATTGCTGAATTCAATTTGCTAAAACTTTGTTAAAATTAGTTATCTACATTCCTGATACTGTTCTTTCAATTTTCTTATCTCCTTATTAGGTTTTTATATCAGGATTTTGCTACATAAAATATATTAAAGTAATCTCTTACTGTATTTTCTGAATACATTTGTTTGTTAAATACATTTATAACATTTTGCTGCCCCCATCCAGCGTGGGCAGCTGAACTAAAATCACTTACGTGAATTTGGGGTGAAACAAAAATACCACACACCAAAAAAAAAGAGTGAGAGAGAGAGAGAGTTTTTAATATTTTTTAGTTATCGGCGGACACAACATCTTTGTATGTGGTGCTGAAGAGCGAACCCGGGCCGCACGCATGCCAGGCGAGCGAGCTACCGCTTGAGCCAGATCCCCAGCCCCAAAATATCTTTTTATACAAGCGTTAGAGCACTTTCCCGGTCTCCTAGCCTCAGGATTCCCACAGCAGAGTAAGAGAAGGTCTTGAGAGGCTGACGAGAGAGAAAGCAAGCACATTTAGTGGGCTTTTATTTGGGGGAAATGCTGTTTCTTAAATCATTCTATCCAAAAAAGCAGAAGGGATAGGATTACAAAGGAACAGGTAAGTGTAACTCAACCCCAGCAAGTGATGCCTATAACTGGAGGCATGCCTTGTTTTTCTGGGATAATGCCCCAAGTTAATGTGAACGCAGTAATTGCTCAGGACCCTGGGGCATCAATCAGGTCTTAAAGGTGTGTTCATCCAGGGTGGCACCCCACAGCATTTGCTTATTCCTTAAATATTTGTAAGAATTCCATAAGAAATGAGGATCTGAAGAGGGGTTAATTTCATATTTAATTTTTAATGACTATAGGTCTACTCATTTTCTATTCTCAATCCTTTTCACCTAAATTTCTTCCAAAATAGTAACAATTGTCAAAATAACAATATAGGTGTAAAATTGTTCGTAATATCCCCTTATGCTGTCAAGACCTGTCAACTCTTGTTTCTGATATTGGTTATGTGTACTTTTTCTGTGTTCAGGGAGGGAGTTGTATCCATTTTTTTCAAAAAAGCAAATTGTGACTTTTGCTTCTGGACCAATGATCTATTTCCACAATGAAGGATGACATAGAGTGGATCTTTGAGCAGAAAACTTCTTGCAAGGTGCCTGCTTCATGATTCCCAGGCAAAGAGAAATTGTTCTTTTGGCACAGGAAAAACAGTGCTTCTGTGCAAGCCTGGAGAGTTCAGAAAGCTGTCAACTAGTTTTGGGCTCATTCACCTGAATGTCTCACTTCCAGCTTTTAAAGTCCCATACTTTAACTATCAGGGAATTAGAAAGATGACTGAACAGATTCAACAGATCATCTATTTCAATTTCTGAAAGGCTCAAAATCATATTCTGGGCCCAATTATTGGCATTCTGTCTTCTGGCTGAGGAAATGGTACTCTTTTGAAGCTACCATTTAAGACCTCTGCCTTTTGCATTGTAAGTTAGCTTACATAGGTGAATGGATGAGCCTATGCTCTTTATTTTGTAAAGTACCAAATGCCATCAAAATCGGCTCACTATGTAGTTCTTAAAGCTTCCATGTCTCCAAGCCAAACAAGCATTCTTGCCCCTTTTTCCACCTTTATCTCATCCCAACTAACAATGAGAAATCTTTAATGACTGTATATGTAACTGAATGACAGGTATTATCCTCTTTTTTACAGTTAGCAATCATATCCTGTTACTTCCAAACTAGTACTGAATTAAATGACAAGATCCTACCCTGAAAGTTTGCTTTCAAGGACCATTTCTTACACCATTCTCTTAGCTTAAGTTTGTATTATAGAGAAACTAAGGCAAAAACACAGATCCAAAGTTTATTGGAGAATATAATGCCCTTTAGGAGTGAAGGAAAGAGTGAGGCTGGACAAGGGTGCACTACTGAGCTGCCACCAAATGAGCCATGAACTGATTGCTCCTCATGCTAGATATGTTCCAAAGGGCTCTGTGCAGCTTCTGCATTACAACACAAATCATGTGGAGGAAGATGGTTAAAGTCTGTGCCTATGGTGAACTAATACTCTCATAGGTTACAAATGTGTAACTAAGCAGGTGCCATGATATTCCCTTCTTCAGAAACAACAGGGAAGCTTCAGGCTATTAACTGAATGTTTGAGTTTCCACATTAAAAAAAAAAAAAAAATCCTACCTTGAAGTCCTAACCCTCAATATGACTATATTGGGGTATAGAGACTTAACTAAAGTAACTGACTGAAGTTAGAGAAGGCAAAGTTGTAGGGCTCTCATGATGAGATCGGTGTTCTCACCAGAAGAAACACCAAAGGCCTTGCTGGCTCATTCGCCACCATGTGAGGAAAGTGGGAAGGTGCCTTCTGCAAGCCAGGAAAAGAGAAAGCCCTCATTAGAACCCAACCATTTAGATCTTGGACTTCTATCCTCTAGAACCATGAGAGAATAAACCTATCAAGTTGCTGTGTCTGTGGCATTCTGTTATGGCAGCCCATGTGACTAATACAGATGCACAACAATGCTGGCACAGGCTTGAGGTGCAGTGGTGTTAGGGTAGGTGAGGGACAACGTGAGACACTGGCAGCAGTCACTACAGGAGAACAAAAGCCAGGGGCATCTTGAGCTCCACAACCTCAAGAGCAGCACAAGCAGCTCCCAGGGACTTCAGGCCGCCATCGAGGCGAGTGTTTGGATGCAGGTTAACAGAATAGGCTATAGAGAGGAAATAGCTGAAGAGTCTGAGAATGAAAGACCCCCATGGTGACAGGGTAAACAAGAGTGTAGCATCTTGGAGGAAAGTGAAATAAAGTCTTACAAGGTGAAATGAGTCATGTGAAAGGCTGCAGCCGGGACAGACAGGAGTGATAACACTTGGCTTTTGTGTAAGTTCCAATAAACTACATTGCCAATTCCATTTCAATGGAGTTATGGGTCCAAAAGCTTACTTGGTATGAATGCAAGAAATATCAAGGGAATAATTGATGGCAATGACCAGAGGAAGACAAAATTCCCAGATTTGAGTAATTCTTGAGTTTTGTAAAGTGAACATAAAAATGAAATACTAGCAAAAGGAAGAGCAAAGCTAAAAGACTAACAAGGACTCCTTCTGGGTTGCTGTATATGTCAAACCCTAACCCTTAAGAGCTGAAAATTATGCTGTTGCCTGAAAGCAAAAGAATGGGACTGATCTTCTTTGTTTCCTGTTACACTTGGCCTTTTAGATCTGTTAGAACTCGTGCTTAGAAGGATGACTGCATAACCTAATAAGGTGAAGAAATCTAATCTCCCAATCCAAGCCATAATAAAAACATTTGGAGGTACAACTTTGCAAGTCTGAGTTTGTTACATTAATGGACACTCCTGACTAAAGCGGCGCCCTTTATCTAAAGACAAAATGGGTTTTACAAACCTACTCAGCCTCTGGGATATT